ATGGAAAATGTGGAGAAGGCTGAACAGACCTTGTGGATAGAGGGTGAATACAATATACCTCTACTTTAGAATGGCTTTTGATGCTGTCTTTTATGACAATATCATAAGTAAACAAATAAAAAATGAAACATGAAACTACCATAAAGTCAGTGTAAAACTAACTGGATAATCATGATTCATCATTCAATATCAACTTTGGGGGAGGATACTGAATGGAATTTTCCACAAATCTGTGCTTTTCAGTGTCTTCATTAATGACCTAGATGACACAATTGAATGCACACAATAAATATACAGAGGACACCTGGCTGAGTGGAGTTGCAGGCACTTTGGGTAAACAGGATGAAATTCAAAATGCAGGTTACTGCTTTTAGTAAAAGCAGTCAATTGCACAAATACAAAAATACCGAGTGATGTCCTAGACTGCAACACTGGGGAAAAAAAAAAAGGATCTGGTGGGTATAGCAGATCACAAACTAAGTATGAGTCAACAGCATAGTACTATTGCAAAAAAACTTAACATATTGGCACATACAAAATCAGAGGAATTAATTCTTCCACTCTGTTCAGTACTGGTGAGGACCTACCTGGGATCTTGTGCCCAGTTTGGGATGCAATGCTGAGTGAGACATAGATAACCTGGAGAGATTCTGAAGCAGAATAACAAAAATTAGAAGTCCAGAAAATGACACAATGAAAGATGGCCATGATGGTTTAGACTGACATGATCTTGCTATTAGAAGGGGATTGAATTAGATGTCCCCTAGGGTCTCTTCTTCCTAGCCTTTTTTTTTCAATTGTGGTGTGACCCTCCAAAAAAATTAATCTCTCACATCCTCAGGATCTTGTCAGGGTTAAGCAGTTAAATGCCCTATTCTATTTCTAGTGGGCACAGCCCAGTCCAGGGATGTAGAGCCAAAAAAGATGCATTCTGCAATTACTACACCCAAGAGCCAGGGGCTTTCTTGGTACTGAGCACAAGCATTGAAAGCAGACTATGTCTCACACCCCTGAGCAAGGAGGAAACAGTCCGATTAAATCCGGGGACAGGAGCAGTGCAGCTAGGGAGTGCTGATGCAGGAAGAGATGGAGCAAAGAGCCAAGGATAGCAAAGGAAGGCCTGATCCTCAGGGAAATGTGCAGGAGAGTCTGTAACCACTAGAGAACACTCCACCAAAAAGCTTGGAACAGAATCAAGTTTCAGCATCCCCCTACTAGCAGCAAATAGCTGTGAAACCCAGTAGAAACTGTGGTTCATCTCCCTCTAGTGGTTAGCCCACACAGAAGGTGACATTCTATTGCGGGGCTCTCTCAGCTGAGGTACAGCAATCTGAAACCTTGGATTTCATAACCCCGCGCTGCTGAAGAACCATATGGGTGTAAACAGGGTGTCCTAAAATACTCATGGTATGTTTGGGTTCTTTGCCTCCAGCTGCTTTTGTTAAAAACCTAAGAAATCACAAAAACAACTTCATGCTTTTAGAGTTTGAAAAAAATCAAGCTAGAAATTTAAGGTATGCCCAAATGCCCTTCAAATCTTGTGTTTCATAGCACAGGATTCAATGACAGGATCCTTTATTTTTATGAACAAACACTTCCTTATCCGTGTAACGTTTGAAAGGGGAACAAGAAAAAAAAAATCAATGTTCTCTTTTAAGCTGAGTTAAAAAAATGGTTTCTTTGCTTGGCAAATGTGTCCCGTTATCCTCTGTTCTCAATAGTGTGTAAGTAGTTGCTATATTTGCTGCGGTGGCCAATCAGAAGCATGCATGTCACAGATGGCAAAGGACATGCAGCAGTTCAGAGAGGGGACAGGCAGCACAGCAGTGGATAGGGCAGGGACCAAAAACAGAGAGCAAAGGAGCAAATCAGACATGGGAAGGAGATTGGAGCAGCACTCACTGAGCATGCAGAGCTAATTTGTTGCATGTGTTCCAAAAATATTGTCCCATACTGCTATTTTGAATCAGATCTGTAGTCCACTGAGTACACTGCCTCTAAGTCAGGTGCGGGCAAAATATGGCCCACAAGCTGCATCCGGGCTGCTAGGCCATTCTATCTGCAAGTCACCTAAAATGTTTAGAAAATTAATATTCATCAAGATGACAAGAGCCAGGGGCAGTAGGAGCTAGGGGAAGGCAGCAGCAGGACTAAACAGCTGCAGCAGCTGGGTCGGACTGGGCCAGCCCCATCCCATCCCACCCTACCTCCAGCTGGAAGTCTCTGCCTAGCAGGAGCTTCTGGCTTGGAGCTGTTCCTGCTTCCTTGCACCGGATGGAAATACAGATAAGGATGGGGGGAGGGAGGCAGAGGAGGACTGCGGGCGATTGCCCCAGTCTTCAGGGCTGGACTAGGTCATCTGTGGTCCCAGTGCTGCAGCTAGGAACTACGTGGTGCTGGAGCAGCTGCCTGGCCGGTGGGAGGGCAGGGGGCAGCAGGGAAATGGTTGCAGCAGGTGGAGGAAAGGGGCAGCAAGTGGGTGTGCAGAGTGCAGCAACAGCTGGGTGGGAGCGCAGGGCAGCAGGAGTGCGGGGTCCAGGCTGGTAGGGGCTCTATGGAGCCAGGCTGGTTCTCCCATCTTCTTGCTGGCGCAGCCCAGCCCAGCTCCATGGAGCTCCTGCCAGCCTGGGCCCTGTACTCCTACCACCCGGCTCCAGGCCCTGCTGGAGCTCGTCCTGATGCACCAGCCCTACACTCCCACCCAGCTGTTGCTGAGCTCCGTGCGTCCACTCGCTAGCCCTTCCCCCCACCTTCCACAGCCATTTCCCTGCTCCCTCCCCCTGCCCCCACTTGCCTGGCCACCAGCTGGCCAGCTGCTTCAGTACCACAGGGTGGGAGAGAGAGAGAGAGTATTCATAGGGTGAGTCTCACATTCACACCCTACCATACACATGCTCCCCACCTCATGCTGCCATACATGCAGACCCCCAGACCCCCCCTCACACATCCCAGCCACTCTCCCCTACACACAGTCCCCAACAAACCCCATACTTACCCACACCCCACATATCTACATACCTACCCACATGCTCCTGTACTCCACACCCAGTCCCCCACACCTATCTACCCCCACACACCCATACCCTCCCCCACATCCCACATACTCACAACCTCCCACAAACCTATACCCAACCCCACATGCGTCCCACAATATACAAGAGTAAGACTTCATTTTAAACTATTGTGTGATCACCTCTGTGTACACTACACAAACACATGTAAATCAGGACAAAAATATTTTTTGAAATCAAATGAATGCATGTTGTAGATGTTCAATTTTTAGAATATAATTTGGTATGTGTCTGGTTCTGAGATGGCAAAACCTTTGCTGAAAGGAGTACTTCTGGGGACAAAGGGAGGGACTTCTGAAGGCAAAGGTCAGGTGTTAGGGGACAGGACTTCTGGTCACAAGATGTTAACTAGGGGGCAGGGCATCTGTCAAGCAGCAGGGCTACCCATGCAGCCCTTGGTGGATTGCCAAAACTCGGTAAACAGCTCTCCACCCAAAATAATTGCCCACCCTTAATCTAAAGGATGAGGTTTAACAGTTTTATTTTTTTTTTTTACTCTCATTGGGCTTTTATTCAATCTTGGGGCAGATAGTTCTAAATGAAGAGCTTGAGGCCACAGCAGAAGTACTCATGGCATGTAAGCCTGTAGGTGACTAGGCATAATTCTATTCCATGCTGCTCAAGTCCCTTAAACAGTTATAACAAAGGTGGATGGGTCTTCATCCTGATCACTGCTTTTGAGACTTTACCACAAGACCAAGATGGTTTCTTACAAAACTAGGTTCTGAGCAAGGTGGAACAGCATCAGTTAGGTGCCTAACAGGTGGAACAGGATTAGCTTCCTACATGTCCAGGGAGCAGCAGTAAACAAAATGATGTATACATGACTAATGGCAGGGGCACTGCAATGACAGCATGGAGACCCGATACCACCCATGGGTAATTTTCACACATCAAGATATATCAGTCTTCTGTTTTTTTAGATTAGTAAACTGCTCTTAGGTCATGGGCAACTGGTGCCACCTTAGACCAGTCAGAGACTGAAGGGGGGGGGGGGGCCATGGCCAATCTTGCTGATTGGGGGGCCCCCTGCAGCCAGTCGCACCCCCATGAGTCGCCACTGCCTTAGGTGTTAGCTACAGAAAACTTCTGCTATGGGGGAGATGTACACTATTAATCAAGGAGCCTTTACTTCTGAACTACTTGTTGCTTTTAGTGTATGAGTAAGCCCTCCCCATACCCTTCCCTCAAATTAAACTGGTGAATACTTCATGCCTTTTTAATGTACACTAGACTAGTATCAAATTCACCCCATGCCAGATCTGGACTGTGGGGCTTCTTGTAGGCTGGTTCCTGTCTGGACAATGGGGTGGCTGCAGTGGCTGTGATGGTGGCAGTAGAGGGACCGCAGGGGCTGGCAGGACCAGCAGAGAGACCAACGGAGATGTGGCAGCACCTCTGCAGGCTAAATGCTTGACACCCCTGCACTAGACTAGTGATTAGCCTGAATTTATTTTGACTTTGTTACTTAAAAACAAGCAGTTTAAATTTGCAGTAATGGGCAACTGCTTACATTTTGCTGCTTTTACATGAACAGTGTGTGAAATGTTACATGTGGTCATGTGCACATAAGCATAAAAAAACCCAAATCCCAATGTTTACTCTGCCCTTTCAGGTTCTCTCATCTGCTTTTTACTGACTTTTTTCTGGTTGTTACTAGAAACATGCAACTCCTGAAGCATATTTTAAGAAATCCTGTAAGTGACTAAAATAAGTTATCACTTTTGCTTATATATTTAATGTTAAATATTCACATTGGTTTTCTAATTACTTACTTTAACTGAAATTAGTGAAACTGAGTGTGGTGAATTGACAGAAACCCAACACAGTAATCAAACAAGCACAGTGGACCAATTTCTACTCTCTCGTGAACAGGGATGGGCCAAGAACAGAAATAGGCCCTGTACTTACAAACCGCACTGATTTTTTAATGTAAACAACAGCATAAACAGAAACAATGCAATCTATTTCTCAAGTTGCTGGAGAACTTAATGTACATCCATATTTATAGTGGAATAGTCTCTTAAGGGAAGTGATGGAAGATAAGAATCGTTTAGAATGAGACTAGATGAAGGACTTGGATTCAAGAGGAAGAGTAATACTGTACTTTCAGGAGCATAAACAAAATAATCAAATCAGTGTAAGCAGTCCTGCAGATCTTAAGATTTTGTAAGAATTTAACTGCATAAAATGTTTCCTTCCTCAGCTATGAGAATAAATGTTCCTGTTAATCAGAAGTGGTGAACACCCCTGCATTTTGCTAAAAAAAAACAAACCAGTGGAAAATGAAAATCCTTAGCATTCTTGAAAAGAAATTCAAACATTTAAGTTCCATATATGGAGTTAGTTATTCTATCAAAACAAATCTGCAAAAAGTTCATTTTCATTAATGAGATAAGAATCTGGCCTATACTTATTACACTGGAAGAGGGAATACTTTACAACATTACAGCTAAACAAACTTTCTTACCATTTGTATATAGATAACAAGTGCTAAAACTGAAGACAATTATTTCCTAATTTATTGGATGAAGCAAATAATGCCAAAGTTTCTTTTGTGGTTGGTACAGTTTTATTGTCTAATAATACTGATTAAAATATTTACAATCCTACTTTTAAATGCACAGTTTAGCACTCATACCTATGGCTTTAATTTTTAGCACAAGATTTTTGGGTCATGTCAGAGAAAGTTTCATTTAAAAAAAAAAAAAAAAAGAAAAAAAAAGCAAGCCAGAAACCTGATATATTTTACAGACATGTTTTCTATCCATGTGTTTTTAAATGTATTCATAAAACGAAGCTTTTAAAAACATCTGGTGAGAAGAGGATTTTCATTCAGCTCATATTTAACAGATTTGGCTGAATTTTTCCTATTTTAAGTGGTCCTCTTAAGAACTCTCACAACGTGGAAGCCATTTCTTCCTCCATTCCCATTTAAATTGAATGAAAAAAATTTGTAGCTGACAAGGTGAAGCAAAAATATAAAGCACTATAACATTATGTACATTGCTTTTTACTGCATTAGCTTCTTAACCCCTCTAGGAGCTTTGTGGAAGTTTAATTAGTCAGTTTTGAAAAGGCACAAGAACTTTTGCGCTTCAAGAACTTAATAGTGCCAACACTTCTCCTCAGCCTAGAACTTCAAAATTTCTAGCCTGAAAAAAGGCTGCTCAATTAAGAAGAAAGTAAAGTGAGGATTGCTGCTACTGTAAGGCATTGTTTCTGGATGACAAATTGATCTGTGCTTTTTCTAGATGTGTAAACCAACTGTTCTTAAATATCCACACATACATTAGAATGCACAGATTCTACTTTTTTTTTGTTTTTACTGCCACACACACACACATACACACAAAATATATTAAGAAGAGCTTGCTTCTGCGAAAAAAGTCAGTGACAACTACATACATAAGGGCATGGTATTCCACCAGTTATTAAACTTCCCACAAAGCTGCCCATTGCTCGAATAGTTTTTGCTCCATGCTATTACAAGAAAAGGGAAAATCCTTTCTGCATTAACAAGATGAGAATTGTATATGAAATATTCTAACTTTGGTCCACTTCTCTGGTTTCCTAAGGGCAGCAGTACTGGAAAGCTGACCACTGATGGTGCAAAACTCAATGTAAAAGTTAACAAAAAATAATTTGGTATTTCATTCCTAAAAATGCATGGTCCAGTCATTAGTTTTCATCATCCACTTTTTCATCTGATGTGTCCACTATTTGTTGAGTTTTTAAATCTTCAGCTTGGTCATGATCTTCTGTATTTGTTTCCATCTCACCTACTTGACCAGGTCCGCTTTCCTCCAGGTCCCTCTGATTCAAGTTTTCAGACTCTATTTGTTCTGGATCGGCTTCCTCTACAAGTTCTGCCTGTACCTCCTGCATTTTTATCTGATTTACATGTTCAACATGAAGCTCCTCTACACGTACTTCAGCACCATGGTCAGTTTGAATATGTTCCACTTCTAAGTAACTGATCTGTACCTGCTCTTGTAGGTCATCCATGTGTGTACCTTTTACCCGATTGTCCTGTATAAGATCAGGATGCACCTGTTCCACAGTTACTTGTGCAGGGTCCACTTGTACCTGAATTACAGGTAGCACATGAACTTGCTCGACTTGTTCTATAATAGTCATTGAAGTCACTGGTTCAGTTTCCACAGCTTCCACTGGGAGAATCTCCTCAGCCACTATTCGCTCTGAAATGTCATGAATCTCTTTGAGATGACGTCTCAGTTCGCTGCCTTGCATAAACCACAAATCACAGAAGGTACAATGGTTGGGTTTTTCCCCTGTGTGTATTACCAAGTGATCTTTAAATTGATCCCAGCTGTTAAACACGCTGTTACATACCTGAAATAACAGATGCAATATGTTAAGCAATGCTATTAAAAAACTGACAAAAGAAAAGTACATTGAATATTCTGGATCAGAAGTTAGAGTATTAGCCTGTTATTTCTTTTTATAAGGATTTTAAAAAGTTATGGGTTAACACAAATCTGGCAAGAGAAATCTGGAATTATTACAAGTAGATTATTTCAGAAGTTGAATGTGCCACTTAAATTCTGGCCTGTGCCTACCATGAAGATGGTGATATACCCTTGGCACTTATGCATTGGTTCTTCATTTTTTATTAAAATGAAGAACATTTTAAATGTGCAATTTGTATGTTGTATTCCACTTATCTCCTGAGGCAAATCAGATCAGAGAGCTCTGGCCATCCCTTTTCTTTTATCAGTGCAAAAGTTACATGTTAAAGTTGCCAAACTACTGAAGAAAGCATTATGCCTTTTTTCTAAAATTAAGATAAGGTTCTGGTGGCACTGCCAATTTGAAGCTTGCCCAACACTTGCCACCAAACCAAAAAAACAAAAACAAAAACGAATGCCCATACTTTTAGCTTCTTGCAACTTTGGCAGATTTGACAGTTTAGATTTTAATTCCTCATGCCAGGTGTATCATTTTTTTTGTAAATTCCAGTTATAGTTTAGCCATTTCCAAGAACAGGCCTTGAGAAAAAATACATTGTTATGTTGGCTATATTAAAAAAAAAAATCTGATGACCTTTTCCTTGTACTGCCATGTTTTTGAACAGAGACTGGACATTTGGAAGGTGGTAGCAGTTGTGGGAAGTGCCTGTGAAAAACCATCCCCATTTGGCTAAGTTATAAAGCCAATGTTGTTTTTGAATGCTCAGTAAAGCCTTTGATTTTAATGTGAAAATCTTGAAAGATTCCATCCACCCCAGGAGTATTTAAGCTTCTCACAGCTCCTAGTGCCATTTAGGCTGCATATACACCATCCCCACATGACAAATGACCATACTTTACTTCTTCAACTGGCACTGGCTGGGCAAGGAGACCGACACTGGGCTGAGACTACTGTGGAGAAGACAGGGAGGGGCGAGCAAGAACTAGGAACGAGGCCTGAAACCAAGAGTGCAGAATACACAGGACTGAGACAGTGACAGGCTGGAGAGCATGGGAGAAAAAACCAGTCAGGCTTGGGGAGAAGAACAGGCAGAAAAGAGAGTAAGTCTTTTGTCCATCACAGAACGCACTGTTTTAGGGCTCTGAAGAGAACCAAGATTCCCATTTCAGTGCTCTTGAGCCACTAGTGGTGAGCATCCTCAGACTCTCCACCTGCCAGTTTTTATTACATACCTGGCATTCATACAGTTTCTTTCTTCCCTTTTTAGCTCCAGCTCCAGACTGACAGGCGGTCAAGTGACATTTGAGAGTGCTATTTCTAGCAAAACGTTCATGGCAGTTTGGACATTCAAACGGTTTTTCACCTATTGAGAAAGAAGCAGGAATTTATAGACATATAGAAAGAATAAATTCTTTTAGCTTTTTATTATATAAGATTATAGGATCGTAGGAAAGTAGGGTTGGAAGGGACCTCACAAGATCATCTAGTCCAGCCCCCTGCTCAAGGCAGGAGCATCCCTGACTAAACCATCGAAAGCATGCATCTGTCCAACCTGCTCTTTAAAGATTTCCAGGGATGGAGACCCCATAGTTTCTCTAGTTAGCCTGTTCCCGTGCTTGGCCACCCTCAGACTCAGCCAGTTCTTCCCACTATCCAATATATTAATATAATATACGTGTATATTACTGGCAGTTTAAGGATTTGGAAATAATCTTTTGAATGTGTAAGAGGAAGTCAGTAAGATTAGACTAATAAAAGAGTTGTTTAATTTAATACACTTATTTGGTTTAAACCAAAAGGAGCAAAGGAAGCAGTGGCTGCTGATATTCACACCAACTACAGGCCATGGGGGAAAAATGATGCAATTGTTAGCTGTTTTTAATGGAATCATTACTTGCGTATGGAAGTTATATAACTTCATAAGGAACCCTTTTTTGGTAAGGCTTTGGTTTCATCCAAACAGTATTATAATTTGTTAAAATGAAAAACTAAAGCCAGGACTGAAACTGAGTAACTGCAAACAGCTCTGCATTACTTGTTTATGTCCACTTCAACAAAGTGCATGTTCGTTATTCAACAGAAACTGTGGAAGTCACATTTTTGTTTCAGAGTTAACAGAAATCAGTAGTAATTCTCCTAAAATTGGTCAAACTCTCCCAGGCCAAGCTACTTAATATTGTATTAAGTTTGGTCACTTCATTTCAAATCACATGCAACAGATTTAACAGAGCAACAAGTCAACAAAATGCTTCACATAAAACCTTGCACAGTATGAGAAATTCAAAAGGCACCTGTTATTTAGCATAAAAAGGAGAAAAGTAAGAGCTAGAATACAGTTATGTAAAACAACCATTCAATGATAAAAATAGGCACTACTGTTTACTTCTTTCATCTTACAAAAATAAAGTTACCTGCAACAAAATTAAAGAGTATAATAACTGCAAGTGAAAACAAGGATATGTTTTCTGAAACTCAATTGATAATCAACCTATGAAACTCACTGACAGTGCAATATAACTGAATCAAGTTATTTACGAAGGATGAAATATTTATATGAATCATAACATCTACAGTTACGATGGCTAAGACTGAAATGAATGCCCCAAAACACTGATAGCTTTGTAAAGCCGTCAGCTAAGACTGGAAACAAGTTTTATTTCTGCTTCTGAAGAAAAAAGGATTTTTTTTCTAAAGAAAAAACCCATTTTCCTAAGTGCCTAAATGTCTAAAACTGACATATAAAAATCATCAACTGTCTTTAAATGTTTGAGTGGATGGACTTTTGAAATCAGTTCAAGATCAATATATAAACCAGGGATGTCCAACTGCTGGACAATGCACGCACCATAAGCTGTGGGGATGGGCCTCCAGGAGTTCCCCCTCCCCTGCCGCTTGCTGAGCAGGCAGCGTTGATGGTGCACAGCCCCCTTCCAGATCCTCCCCCAGCACATGGCAGTGGAACACGAGGCTGAAGGAACTTGTGGACTCCCAGTTGGACAACCTTGATATAAACCAAATCCCAGGATCCACTGACAGGACAGTCACACAAGGATGCTGCTGGGCATGAAAGAGCTGGATGCACGAATGCTTTGATTCCGCCCCCCCCACCCCCAAAAAAAATCACCTATATAGGAAGATAGGAAATTCTCAGTATCCTCTAGGTTGTTCTGACAGTGGATGCCAGGATATTAAATCAAGCAAAAGCAAAGCAGTTAACTCCAGAACACAGCAGGATTTAGAGCCTGCTGTCCTACTGCAGTTTCCTGGTAGCTAGATACCACAAGCCCTGTTAGTCAACAATTCTGGGCTTCATGGGAGCAATGTAGAGAACATACAAAGGAAAAGCTCTAGGTACCACAGATCAGTATCCACACTTTCGCTTCATCCTGATTCTGGGCTCCTCATTTATAAGAAAGCACAAAACAAACTGCCACTCAATAAATGGGCGCGCACACTATCTTTTAGCTGAAAACCTTGAATGCAGGGTAGATAAAAATCAACGATTAACACCCCCCCCCGCCCCAAAACCTCAGATTTTTTTATTTAAATCAGATTTTTTAATTAATTGTATTTTTATTTTTGTTAAGATGCTTTTAAAAGAAACCCAAAACTATATAAAAAGATAGTTTTAATTTAAGCTATGTTAAACCTCAACGATATCATTATAGAATAGGGATTATAACTTCAAATTTTATACTTTTTGAGACCATATATTCACGTAGCCTTTTTAGAAAAGTTTTATAAATAGGTCACAATAGGCCACAGATTATATTAGGGGCCCAATCTTATGGGGTTCCCAGAGGCTCCTCTATAGATTAGTAAAGATTAAAGAAAACCACTCTACCTAATGGGACTCAGTGCTCAGCCTCGAAGAACTTATTAATCATCTCTGTGATGCTTAGTTTCAGTTCTCAAACTGTAGATTTGTCTCTCGAGAGATAGCATCTTTGTTAACAGCAGTATATGAAGATGAGAGATAACAGACCTGATTACCTACCCATCAGCTCTATTGTCTCCCCGCAAGTTTGTGTACATGGAGTCAAGCCCTTAACTTCTTGAAACTTTACACTTTTAGAGAGAGGTAAATGAATAGAGGATTGTTGGGGGTGGAGTAGAGCTGGGCAAGGAGAAGGTGTCTGGAGATAAATGCAAGGAGGGAGGGGCAGTAGGAACAAAAGAGAAACATTTTGAGCAGAGGATTCCAGAAATTTCTGAGTACAGCCTCTCAACTAATTTGAGATCTAGTGAGGGAATGGTATGGCAGAGGGGAAAACCTATTATGGCAGCAGGCCTGCTAGGCCATAAGAGAGAAGAAATCAAAGATGAGAAGAAATCTAGAATAAAGTGAAGAAAGCCCGAAAATATTAACATATGGCTGCAATGCTCATTTGATGTCCTCCTAATACAGCATAGCAAAAATATCTTCCAAATATCCATGATTTATCTAGTGAATTGGAGATAGTTCACCTCCCAATGGCTTTACAAGTATCTGCTTCAATTAGCTTTGGTAAATAACATAACCAAGTCATAATTCAGTTTTCAGATGTAGCTGCAAAATTAATCTGAAAAAAAATCAAAATAAATCACTGTTTTAAAATGTATAGTCTGTACCTTCTAAAAATGAAACTTACATCTATCTCTGAGTTGTGAATAATATCTATTAAGGTTATATCAAACAACAAGAATGCACTTGTAGAAAGCAATGATTGAATTGAGGATTCCTGCCAGGTGATTTAAATTGTGATTTAAATTGATTTAATTTAAATCAAACCCACCCTGTTTGAATGATCTTCAGAAGCAGGCTTACACATATTCATGATTTGTTACAGCAACATACTATGCATGGGAGAATCTGAAGCCAGAAAAACTGCAGCGTGCAACCTTCTTGCCTAGTGCAAATTAAAAGTGCTCTGGGATATAAAGATATCAACGGTGACCAAGCAAAGACAAAAATACCACACATCCTCCAGGCTGAAAATGTCTTTAACCAGTAGTAGGGAAACTCCATTCAAAACTAAAACAAATCTGTGGGTATAGACAGGTGGCTTTTATCCTTGTTAGATTTGAGGCACCCCTCAGAGAAATAGCAGTGTGCTTGTTTTCGCTCTTTTCTGAGTGCAGAAAAATAGTGAAACAATTCTTTGGTTGTAAAGAACTAAGAAAAACCACACCAAGTCAGAATGTTTTTTACACTTTGAATTCTTATTCAAAATCTCTGGGTTTATCTTGTGAATCAAGTTTGCAAAAGTGCTAATATTGCACGGCATGCTGCACCACCCTTGAAATGATCTCAGAGCACCACAGGGTGCCTTGGCACCATAGTTGAGAATCACTGGTATAGACCAATACAGTTGTACACTGATATAAGCTATTAGGATGAAGCTGTCATCACTGCAGACTCATGCAGACAGCTGTAGCAAAAACTGATTCATTTAAAATAAAATCTTTCAAATGTTTAATTAAAAAAAAAAGTTTCTTTTTCATCTTGTTTCTTCAATAGTATCTGAGGTTCTTGCTGTTATGTATTTAATACTTATTTCTAAAGACATTGGTAAATTAGTTCCACCGTCTGGTTTTGCTTATTTATTAAGAAACTGAAGCTGAGAGAGAACAGGCATCCATAACGCCCAGTCAAGTCACCAGGGATGTTCAGTAGTGCTGCATCAGATGGTCCCAAAGTTCTGCAGCAAGAACAGGCCTAGGCAAATATATGAAATTCATTGCTTTCAGTTAATGAAACTATATTTTTCATTAAAGTAAATTACTATTACCACATTTAGTTGAATATAAGGGGACCCTGAATATAAGACAACCCCCCAATAATTAGATAGTATATATGGAAAAATTATAAATATATTATAATTTTTCCACGTATAGAACCTAACTATTGGAGATCTGCCTTATATTTATCTACCTCCCACTGCTACAGCAGGGAAAAGGCATCCGGAGGGGGGGGCGGTGGCCCCCTTACCCTCTGCCTCCACATCTTCTTTCCCCTGCAGACTCTTCCTCCCTCACCTTACTGTCAAACTCTGCTCTCCCTGAGCACATGTGAGAGGCAAATCTGAAAACACAAATTTGAACACACTGATTGTGAAATAAACATACCTACAGTAATTGAGTTCATCCAGAATTGATGCATTTTGCCTTTTTTTGAAACTGCAGCAAGTTTTAGCATAGGTACTCCATAACCACACTTTTAAGCAATGTTTTTGTACCTACTTATATAGAGTACAAACTATGCTTGGTTTGTTTGTTTCAAGGGCCAAATCAGTTCCAAATTCTACTGGGCAAAACCCAATAGTCACGCTCCAAGTTTTGACTGAGTTGAACTCAATCATTCAAGTCCGTGTGGCTCTACCA